TAATGCAATTATACTCCAATAAAGATGTTAAAAAAATTTAAGAAAAAAGAAAAATATAAATAAGGTTCTATTCTTGTTGGAAGTGTTTTTTTCTGAAATGATTATTTTTGAAAACTGTGATAAAATTGCAGCTAAAACTCAGCTGTCATGAACTGATTAATCATCAGAAATGGTGAATGTACAGGTATTCGAGAAATTCAAAAAACTATGGGACTTGACTAAACAGGATTTAAAATTTTAAAATCTCAATTTATTTCTCTTTAAATAATTGGCCTGTGGAAAGAGAAAAGTAATCATAGTTGGAAACATTAATGGGTCAAACTCTTACCCCACCTACTTTAGTATGAGAATCTGTCACCTTCTTAGGGCTTGCTTTTGGCAGATTCTGCTAATACTTTTATCTTAAAAAAGACAGATTTGGGCACTAGTTGCTTACTTAGCTTATTGATTCTCCAACTGTGGGTCACAGCTCCCCAACTGCGATGCCAGAAGATTGCCTAGGGGATTGCAAGGCCTGTTACCTCTGTTTTTGCCCCTTTTCCCTCCCTCACTTGTAATAAATTGTCTTATATATTCCACTACATATATTTAGAACCACATCAGACTGTTTTAGTATTTGCTTCCACTATCAAACATAATATGAAACTCTTGAAGATAAAGTCTTTTGTATTTGTCAATATTCTGCTTACCATGTATTTTCTTCCTTCCTAAGGTTCGAAGTTTCCTTTTGATGTTTTCTTTCTGTTTAGAGAATTTTGTTTAGCCGTCGTTTTAGGGTAGGTCTGTGGGTGTCCAGTTCTCTAAGCTTTCCTTCATCTGAGATTGTCTTTATTTCCCCTTCATACTTGAAGATTTGTTTTTTGCTGAGTATGAGATTCTGTGTTGACAGTTCCTTACTTTTAGTTTTTAAAAACTATTGTGCCACATCCTTCTGACTGGCATAGTTTCTCATGGTAAATTCAGTCATTCTGATTGTTTCCCTCTGCTTCCAAGTGCCCCTTACATGGTTATTGGCAGGGGTCAGGTTTTTTTTTTTTTTTTTTGGTGGCTTTCAAGATTTTTTCTGTCTTTAGTTTTCAGAAGTTTAATTGTGATGTGTCTTGGTATGGATTTCTTTGGGTTTATCCTATATGGAATCTGATTCTGTAGATTTATGCCTCTTGCCAAGTTTGAGGAGTTTTCAGCCAGTGTTTCTTCAAGGGCATTTTCCACCCTTCCAGGGACTCTGATGATACTGTTACATGTTTTTATAGTTTCACTGAGCCTTTTTTTTCCCCTTCTGTTTTTTCTCTCTTGATAAGACTAATTTCTATTGTGCTATCTTTGAGTGTACTGATTGTTTCCTTTGCCACCCCCATTCTGCTGTTGAGCTTATCCACCAAGCTTTTTATTTAGTGATTGTATTTTTCAGTTCTAAAATTTCCATTTGGGGGACTTCCCTGGTGGTCCAGTGGTTGAGACTCCACGCTTCCACTGCTGGGGGGCACAGGTTCTATCCCTGGTCGGGGAACTAAGATCCCACATGCTGCGTGGTGTGGCCAAAATAAAAAAATTAAAGATAATAACTAAATAAAATTTCCATTTGGTTCTTCTTGATATTGTTCTTTTCTTTGCTGAGACTTTGTTTCTTTGCTGAGGCTTTCTACTTTTTTCATTAATTTCAAGCATGTTTGTAATTCATTTTTGTCATGGCTGCTTTAAAATCCTTGTCAGATAATCCTAACATCTCGGTGATCTCAGTGTTGGCATCTCTTGATTGTCTTTTTTCATTCAAGTTGAGGTTTTTCTGGTTCTTGCTTTAACGAGTGATTTTCTTGTGAAACCTGGACATTTTTTTTATTATGTTCTGAGACTCTGGATCTTATTCACAACTCTTGTTTTAGCTGACACTCCTCTGGTCGAGAAGGGGGAGCACTGTCTTGTTATATTGCCAGGGGAGGTGTAAGTACAGGTTCTCCCCTTGGCCCCCACTGACACCCAAAGGAAGGGGGACTATTTATTATACTTGGGCAGGGGTAGGAGTTCTGGCTCACTACATGGTCTTCATTGTCACTGCAGCGGGGTGGCCTCATCACTGCGGGGCCACCAGAGGAAGTGCCTCCTCTGACTCCATCCCTGGGAAGGGGTGGAGCTGCTGTTACTGCAGAGGGGAGTGCAAGGCCAGCTTCCCCTGGTGCGGACTCAGGATTGGCTTTGGGGGAGGAAAGTCCTGCTCCCTGCTGGGTGTCTCTGACATCGCCCAGGTGAGGATGTCCAGGTACCTGATTCCAGCCTTGTGCATCTTGGCTCCCCACTCAGCCTGGGCTCTTGTCAGCAGGTGTGAGGTCACCATTCTTTCCTGTAGTGTTTGGTTGTAGAAGGGCAGTAGTTGTCTAGAGGATCAAATCTGGGAAGGTATTGCTTTTTGTGACCACCAAAATACTAATGAGTTTTACTTCAAAATCAGTGAATTCCAAATGAGTCCTATATTGGATGGACATAATAAAATCATTAGTTTGTAAATTTGGTGCCTTTGAGTTTGCACAAAAACAAAGCAACCCATAAGACTGCTTCTTCAGGAGATTTAGCTGTCGATAAAATGGATAACCTCATTCATGTAATTTTTTTCTTGGACAAATGAATTGTAATGCTGGCATTATCTAACCATTTGGGAAACCTTTATTGAACAATCACAATTTAGGATGCTATGGAGACACACAAGTAAAAGGCAAGGTTTCTGCTCTTGAGGAAATTATAACAATAAAAAAAGTGGAAAACAGAACTGGAGAATCAACTGTGAATCGTGGAAATACACAACTACATAGACATAGAATTACAGATGTCAAGAAACATATCATCCAGACATAATCTTGAGTCAAATAAACTCCATGTATACACATTCTATAAGAACAAGTCAGAAGGTAGAAAGTACTATATATAAATGGTCATGTTGTCTGATTGTGATGAGATTGTACCCTCAATTTTAATCATGCCCCATGATCCTATTTCCTGCTTTTATTTCAGTAGAAGCATGACACTGGCTACTTGTGTGATCTTGGGCAAATTGCTTGTCTAACACTATTTCTTCGTTTCTGAAATGTGGGTAATCATACCTGTATGACAGAGTTGTTTGATCGGATTAAGCTAAATAATGCACATGAAATTCTTATCACAGTTCCTTGCACATAGTAAAATGATAGTAGCTGATATTTTTGCTTTTGCTATGGCTGCTTGCCTCTTTTTGTTAGCAGGCTCTATAATGTCAACAAGTTAAACTACGTTTTCTCTTAGAGTGCCCCCGAGTCTATACTACACTGTTAGCTTAGGTGAACCTGTGCCTAGGAAGATAAACTGGCATCAAGGATATCAGAAACCTTTCTTAATAGGGCTCATGGGTGAAATACATAAAAAACTACTGACCCTTTTCCTGAAAATTCCTCATGCTTCAAACATACATTTTTATCACTAGCTTACAAAGAACAATAAATTATTTTATTGTCTTATTATAGTTTCATTAAGGATCTTATTTTGGGCTCAAGGCTTGTAACTTTAAATTCTTGTTAATGCTCACGGTCATTTTACTATTTGTTTTCTCTCATTTCTACTTGCATAAGCCTTGTTTTGTTCTGTTCATTTAAGTGACTTAAAGGCTCTCAAAACCTGGTAGTGAATGAAGTTTGTTTATTTACTTGATCGATATTAAGTGTTTACGCTAAGCACTGTACTGGGAGTACTAATTTGAGTAAGATGGTTTCTGTCTTCAAGGAGCTTGTTGTCTAATGCTGATGTGACACTGTTGCTCATACTACTGGAGAAGAGTCATCTTTAGCTTATTTACTTTTCCACGTAAGTCTTGTCTTTAAAATGTTGGATTTCATGTGCTTCTGAAACTTTCTACTTACATGTCCCCAGTTATACTGTCAGAAACTGATGTAGCATATACTCATTAAAGAGTGTAGGCCCTGGATCCGGACTGTGTGGGCTAGGGTCACAACTCTACTGTTTCCTACCTCTGTGACCTTGGGCAAGTGACTGCTTGGTGCCTTAAGTTTCCTCTCCTATTGTAAAAGTTAGGTGAGTCATTATATACTAAGTGCTTAGAACGGTGGTGGGCAGACAGTGAACACTCAGTAAATGTTAGGTATTATTATTTTCTCTAAAACATCAGTAACAATCTAATTCTTATTTTTAGGAGTTCACTGTTTTATAATTGCTATTTTTTAGTCTTTAGTTTCTCAGAAACACGCTTCTGATGTTATTAAGTAAATACATTTATTAATATCGCAAAACTTTCTCTTTTTAATAAAGAATTTCCAATTTTTATTAACATGAACTCAAGAGGTTAGGGTTGCCAGGAGGTAAGAAAAATTTGGAAGGAGATAAATAAGACTGTATGAGAAAGTAGATACCTTTGTGAGCAAGCCTATATTCTTTCTTTAACATAATTTCCTAGACTTTTACAGAATGAATTATGGGTTTAATATTGATAAATTTATATATATTTAAACATTTATTTTTAAATCCCTGAACACTTATATGATTGTGGTTTATATTTAAGTTCATGAGAATAAGGCACTTTAGAGTAAGAATAATCGCTTCTGTCTTCTATTTAAAAATTGTATTTCTCAGTATCATAATGATAATTAATCTAAATGAATAAAATTGCTAAAGCAAAAGAAAATCTGACTTTTGTTACAAACACCTTAAAAACTTTCGTGTCCAAAAGAGGTATAAAGGTTTTTACTGCTGGCAGTAAATTCTTTAAAATTATCAAAAGGCATACAGGGGCTTCCCTGCTGGCGCGGTGGTTGAGAGTCCGCCTGCGGATGCAGGGGACACGGGTTCGTGCCCCGGTCCGGGAAGATGCCACATGCTGCGGAGTGGCTGGGCCCGTGAGCCATGGTTGCTGAGCCTGCGTGTCCAGAGCCTGTGCTCCACAACGGGAGAGGCCACAACAGTGAGAGGCTCGCCCAACCCCAAAAAAAAAAAAAAAAAAAAAAAAAAGGCATACAATGGAATAGTTTTATTCCAGCTTTATTTAAAATTTTAATTTCAAGTGAAATAATGTGACACTGATGGATAAGAATACAATCAAAGATGGCAAATAACCTAATTCACTTTCCTGGTTTGTTCAAGCCTCCAGGCACCAGTCAAATATCGAAGTCGTATAAAAAGTAGGTCCTTGCCCATCTGTAGCCAGCTCCAGAATGGAACTAATTTAGAACCTGCGATTTAAAAATAATTAAAAATAAATATATTTTCAGGAAACATAAGTTTAAAATTGTGTTTTAGAAGTCACAACCTTTGTTAGCTTCTAGTCACCTTAATTTAACTTACATTATTTATATTATATATGTATGTCTTTAAACAATTCCTTTGCACATTTAAAAATGATTTTCGGGGGCAAATCTTCATGTTTTATGCACTGCTTTTCAATCTCATGTACTCCGGAGAATCAGATACACCTCTATACATAATACAAGTACAGACTAATAATCTGAGATAAGAAAGCCAAGACAAAAACCCAACTTTCATTCTAATTCTACCGAAGACTCTCAATCAGATAAAATAAATACATCTTAGCTAGGCCATCTTGTCCAGTGGTTGTCAAATGGCAACATGCCAAGTGCAGTTGACTGCATGAGATTTGCCTCCTTGAGCATGTCTTAAAAGCTTATATATTCCTTGATTTTACCCCTTGGAATTGTTTTTTCGGTCAGTCAGAAACAGACCTGCCCTCCAATCTCAGGTAACTGGCATGCTGGGTGGTAGAGTGAAGTAGTAAAGACCACAGGACGATCACTGACAATTTCCAGATTGAAGCCCAAATGCTCTAGCTTCTTTCTCTGTTCCTTTCTTCCCACCCCTCCCCCCCCACAAGCTTTACTGAGGTGTAACTGGCAAATAAAATTGAAATGTATTTAAAGTGTACAACGTGATGATTTGATAGCTGTGAAATGATTACCACGATGAAGTTAACAGATCCACTGTAATTAATTTAAATCATGGATAAGAGATTTAAGTATCTTCAAAGCCAAAGTGAGTGGTTTCTCTAAAAACAACAAAAACAAAACACCTTGAAGTGAAATAAAACTTGGGAGGATCTAAACTGTGAGAATTTCAGATGGCCCTGCTCTAGTGGGGAGGCACCAATTGTATATGGCTGAGGGTTTGGGGATGATTAACAGAAAAACTGCTAAGTGCTGGTTATCGAGATTTAACACTCAACTCTGAGAAATGCAAGTGAGCAACTGATATAAAATGAAACATATTTTTACTTTTCCCCACTTCAACTTCCCATAGAGTCTATGCTGGGCACAGATCAACACAGACACATCCACCGAGCTGATCCTAATGAGTCTGAGGCATCCTTTCACCTGCTTCCCATCCCCTTTGATCTAGGCTGCTACTGTGGAGATTAGTCAAACTGCTGTAAACTCAATATAGACTCCAAGAGGAGTCTGCTGTAGACTCCAAGAGGTCTACATAGCTTGTATGATTTCCAGACCGGTTCTTAACCTTTTTCTGTCCCTAAACATGTGAAGTTGCTTACTTCAACAGTGACTTTTCAAGACGAGGCCATGCTTACCTGGGGGAGAGGTGACTTTGAAAAAGTCTCCAGTTAACTGCTCCTACACTGTGAATTAATTTAGGATCATTCTAAGGTAAGCAAAGGAGAACACTAGAATATATTTTAAATTCTAAACAGTGAGCGCTGTCTAAGCTTTTCTGAATAGAAATTATTTGGAAGTATGATAGATTTCACATTTTAAATCTTAGAAATCTTTACATTTTTGGATATATGTACAGATGCCAGTTAAAAATCGGCTGTTAATGGATTATGGACATTTGGAGTAAAAACAACTAATTCCTCATTTAGCTTTGCACAGTGGTTTGTAGGTACTGAAAACTCACTGAGTAATGAAATAATACTAAAAAAAAAATTGGTATTACAAACAATAAAGTTTATCTGAAGACTATTCACCTTGCTTCTAGCCTGAAATCACCATGATCCTGTCTACTGTACAAGTTTTTATTGAATTGCAAGCCAGTAGACCTAATGAAGACCCTAAGAAGAGACTAAAAAAATACAGAAGGCAGTAAGCCAGCTGGAGGAGGGTGGCAAGGATTAGTAGGCAGTACTTACTGTCTATGAAACTGCCTCTCTGAGTTAGGACAGCTGAGCTGGGGTGACAGTAAAGCCAGCTGACTTCACCGGACAACTGTATGGTCTGACGTCTTCCCCCACTTAAGATCAGCTGTAATGTAAACAATATACTCACCTTCAATTTCAGTCCAGTTGACAGCAATTTCTGCTATTGGGATCTTAAAGAACTGTGCTATGTAAAGCAGTTCTACATCAAATGCCCTGAAATAGAAAATACATTGCTATATATTTATTTTTAAAAAGACGAATAGAGTGTAATTAAATCTCTACCTTGGCATGTTTTAAAGAAGTTTACATAGCAGATATAAAAGCTTACATTGTAAAAGTGAAGGCCAGATAAACATAAGGTCAAATAAAAGCAAAGTAGTTCAGGAACTTCAAGGCAAATAATATAACATCGCGTGTCACTGCATAACATATAAATGAGAAATATGGCGTCTCTGTCACAACTCAGAAACTCCCAGAGGTAAAAACGGCCTCCTGGGCTCCAAGAGAAAATTTAATCCTGGAAATGTTCAAGATTGATGGTTTTCAAATCCCAACCTTAACTAGCTCAAGAAACAGAACTGATCGCATTTTCAACAGATTCAGAGAGCTGGTAAAACAGGACCTTGAGAAGCACTAGGAGAGAATGTTCTCAGTCACTTTAGAGCTGCTTGATTACATTCTTCTACCGCCAAAGAATCAAGGTTTCTTTTCTAAGTACGCCTTCCCTCTTCCCCTCCCCAGTGCCGTCCTGGCCAATACAGTACTGGCAGCTGGTGGAAGTGAAAAGCCAGTTTAGGCTGGCCTGAAAGGCCTCGTGGGTATAACTACATATATACATAGGAATTAGATACGTTGTCTCATTTTAACATACACTTAAAATCATCTCTAGTCTGAATTCCCAGCTCAGCCTTCCTTCTACCTAGGAAAGACTCTTTCTTAAAAAGCTCCTCTTCAATCAGCCCTTTGGTTTAGGTCGAATTTGCTTTCCTTAACATTTTTGAATCCTGACTTAGAAGTTTTCCTGGATTTTTACAAAATTCTCTCAACCAGTTGCTTCCTTTCACTGGCATTAAACTCAAAAAGAGAAGCACCACTGCCTGTGCTACACTTCATGCTTTTACTTGTCTCGAAAAGCACTAAACTCTTTCACTATTTTGCTTTCATTCTTGAGACATGAAACGCCCCACTTTCTAGACTGCATGGAACACACTTCAAACTTCCCAGGCTTGGTTTTAAAATATGAGCACAAACAAGAAAACGCCTAAAATCCATTTCTATCTGATTTCCCTGATTCCAGACAATCTGAATTTGGGAGTTTTGTTTTCTTGGCTACAATACCACCACCATCCATTATGCAACTAGTTTAAATCTCAAGTGTTTGGATAATTCAATATGAAAACTATTTTTTTTAAAAAACACTTAATGCTTTTCCTTATCCTAATAAAATATTTACCTAAGATGATAAAATCATCTACAAAAGTGTTCTTTGTGTTTCTGAAAGGACTAAGTAAAACTTCCGTTAAGTAGAATTGTGACACTCATGAAGGAAATAATTTGAATATTAACCCTTAAAACTTTCCTTTAACATAAAACCAAAAAGTTACCTAATGGGCTGCTGAGTAATGCTAATTAATAATCAGATCAAGATTATTAAGTATTTCTCCAAAAATATCATATAGAATTAGTGACTTATCAAAGACACAAAACAACATAAAAATGATGAATGAAAAGGAGTGGGGTAAAAAACCACTGATAAACTGAAATACAATTTTTTTTTTATATTAAAAAAACTGAAAGGGCTATTCATCTTATAAACTATTATTTTTATTATACCCTTCTCCCCTTAAATATTTTAGAAGACATGAGATGTTTATTTAAAAAAAAAAAACCCAAAACAACAAAAAACAACAAAACAAACCAAACTGCAGTTCATATCACCATATTACAAATAAGAGACCAATCTGTTACCAAAGCAAACATTGTAATTAAAATACCAAGTACTTCTGGATGGAACCTTATGCCAATAAAGAGAAGCAGCATAAGGGTTATTCTCCAACTGAAATGACTTCTTGAGTTTTGGTAAATGTGGGGAGGGCAGAGTCACCACATTTTCTTTTGTTATTCAGTTCCTGATACAGCTGTTACCTCAGGAACAGATGTATTTCTGAAGAACAAAGAGTGTGTTGAGACTCTGCTAAACATGGCACACACACACACACCCTACTGCTCCCTCCTGAAATCCCACTAAAATTAAAACGACAATCACGGGATAACCATACGAGAACAAAAAGAGGAGAAGATGAGAGTAACAACAAAAAAAATGCGAACGTTGGAAAGTAGCTAGACAAGTGGTAACTAGAAAGTAGACAACGGCAGAGGGAGAAGCCCAGAGCAGGTTAATGGGCACCACAGAGCCCCCGAGGCTCAGGCATCAAGGGCCCAAGTGACCTCTGTAAGTGGAGGTGCAGGTGGGCTGCAAACCAGAGGGCTCACTGAAAATCTGTATGAGATTCTCCTTTCTTCCAGCCAGTTCTGTGAATGCTGGCAGCCAGGATCATATCTCTTAGGCAGCAGATTGAAGGATCCCACTTTAGTGAAAATGACCAGCCCAAAACATAGTGACAGCTGGGAGTTACCCACACAAAATGGCCCCACTAGTTTGATTTGTAGTGAAATCTATCAGTCAGTCAGTTTGCTGACCACGCACCTGCTGCTGATGAGCTAAAAGTTTTAGCACCATACCAAAGATATCTGAGGATAAACTTTAATGATAAGAACAAACATAAAAAAACTGGAGCAACAGAAAAAATGCAAGGAAAGAAGAAAATAAAGTGTGAGTGGAAGCTACTGTAGTCATGAAACAAGAACAGATTTAGAAAAATGAATACTAGAATATAAGAATTACAGGAAATTGAGGTTTTGATAGCAGAAATAAAATTTTAAAAGGAGGGTTAGATAAAATTGAGGAAATCTCAAAAGAAGAAAAATAGGAAGAGGGAGAGAAAATAAAATTAAAGGATCAATAGGGAAGCTCTATATCTGTTTTATAAGAGAGAAGAGAGAAAAGACAGAGGAGATCATTGAATAAATGAATAAAGGACATTTCTCAGAACTAAAGGACATGGGTTTCCAGACTTAGAGGGCCTCCTCAGTACTCAACAAAATGCATGAAAAAGAGCCACGTTAAGTTGCTGAATCATGACATTTCAATACACTGAATAAAAGGCTTCCAAAGTGGGGTGGAAAAAACATGCCATAGACAAGGAATCAAGATTAGATTATTGACAGAACTGGACTTTTCCACAGAAACACTGATGCCAAAGACAACAGCAATGCTTTCCAAATCCAGAGGAAAAAGGATTTCCAACCTATAACTCTTTCTCCAGCTAACTGGTAAACAAGTGTGAGGGTAGAATCAAGGCATGTCTCTACATGTGGGGTATCACAGTGTCTTTCTCATACTTTTTAGGAGGTGTAAGAGAGGTGTGCTCTACTAAATTAGGATGGAAACCAAGGAAAACAAGATCTAGGACAGGAGCTGCAGCAGGCCAGGACACAACTAGAAAGAGCCAATGAGAAAGGCTTTCCATCTCCAAGGAAGGCTTTCCATCTCCAAGAAAAAGATGGAATTGAGGCATAATCTGATGTGTTTGGGAACTTATGCTTCTGTCAGAGAGTGAGGACAAGTGTTAGATCCATGGTCAAGTAATGCCAGCAAATAACTCCAGTTATTACCTTTAGAAAAACAAAAAGTACTACAAATATGTGGGTCATATAATCCCATTGCATGCTACGGCTCAAATCTGCATTCTCTTTACCCAGCTATAACGATCAATGCTGAGCTGAGCAAACATTATTTTAAAACTGTATTAGGAGCATATCTGTGGAGGGTGTACAGGAGTTTAAGAGAACGAAATACTTGTCCATTGATTTCCTGTTGTGGAAATTAATATCTAAAACTGAAAAACTGAGACGTAGCTGTGCAGACCCATTGTTTTCAATGTGAAAGCAAACACCACAAA